AATTCGAACTCAATCGGGTAATTTTTTGTCAAAATCCATAAATTACTCTGTATGTCAGTAACGAAGCGGTTTTGGAAATTTGTATATGGCATTTTTCAATCATATTGGCAGACCCTATAATCCCGTAAGTTTTGTCTGTTCCATCTCTAGCCACCCTGTATAACGAAATTGTCATATAACTTTGATGACCGATATTTCAGAAATGAATCGTAATCTGCTTAAATTTGGCAGCTACGTTTCTCTGTTAAGACTATCGAAGATGGCATATTATGAAAGAAAAATCCAGATCCGGACTTAGAAAAAATAAATGTCTTATTATTGTTATTTCCCAAAAGTTCAATTTGTGATCACTTAGATTCAGGAAGATAAGACAAAATGCTATGCTCACTCTGCCGGGTTCAATGGAAAAAATTGAAACAAAATCGATCGATGAATTTTCAATTTTGACCTGGCCCATTCTTGCCAATCTATTGGATTCATGTAAATTGATTTTTTGCACATTTTCATTGGATGTGAATTAGGTAACAAGAAACTGACTGAAAAAAAAACAATGAACAATAATCGATAAGTGATTTTCCAATTGTTTCGATATTTCCAAATAATAACAAGTAGTATACAGTATGATGCAAATGTATGGAATAAATTCATTTCAAAACAAGACGATTCTCGAAAAAAAAAACTAGAGTTTAGAACTTTTTTTCGACGTATTTTTTTAACTAGACGACCCTTCGATGTTCAATTCTCAGTAGCAGACCTCTGCAAGATTCAATTAATCACATGATAATCCATTTTAATTTCAATCTCCTTATGCAACATTTTGACTGTTGTATAGACGATCAGTAGACCTTCCAATCAAGGTGTCACATGACCCCTATTTGTATTTGAAAAAATCGTCCATTACGTCATTACTCCAACACCGGTGACGTGTTTTTGGAATTTTTTCAAATGTCGCCCATTACTGAAATAATGAATTTATTCCATACATTTGCATCATACTTTATGTATAATTAATATTAGTTCAAATCAGATTAGGAACTAGGGTTAGGAATTAAAAATATCAGTTATTGATCGTAATCCTAGACAGATATTATTAGTCGTGACTCTATTTTATAAATTTGCAAATTGTTCTATAATTGTTATCTGTCATCCGGTTACCCCCTTACGAGGAACCCTCAGAAGTCTTCAAGAGACTTGTGCGAGCAAAGAATGACAGGGTCCTTACTTTTTAACGTGTGATCCCAAACAATTTCTTTGGCCATCAGGAAAATGTATGCAGTCGTGTGAATCGAACACACGAACATCCAACGTGGATAGAATATTGATGCTTCTATCACGCCGTAATGATACCGTAATGAAGTAGGTAATGATGAAAAAGTGAGCCCTGTTTTTTAATGTATGATGTGACGTGGTGTTTGTTGATAATCCGAACTGATAGGTATTAACTGGTAATCAAAATATTCTTGCACTTCTTTTTCAAATGCTGAATATGACGAAAATTCAAATGCTGCAATGGCATACGTGGCAGTAAAACCTTAATGAGCGAACATTGACAAAAGGTCAAAAGAGCTAATGCATCCTCATCAATTGCAGAAGTGTATCAAGAACTGATGATGATGATAATGTGGTAATTCATGTTTGTAAAGAACAGTATGATGCAAAAGTAGAATACGAAATCACAATACAAAAATAACAGATGTGAACAAACCTTCTGAATACCCATAAATAAACAGATTGAAACCGCAGTAAGTAATATACTTCTGTGCGGTCAGATCAGTATTGTCCAATTTATTTATATCGTGGAGATGGAAACAATAAATATAAAATGTATAGTGGAATAACACCTTATGCTAATCAGAAAAATGTTCTATTTCATGATGGAGTGCCTGCGCTTTGCATGTAGTAAATATTTTTTATATCTATGGCTAGATGTATAGAATCTGATGAAATTTTTCGAGTAAAATGATCAAAGAGTGAACATTTTCGATATAACATGAAGTACGGATATGGATTTTTTTCACAATATGCCATCTTGAATAGATTCAATTGAGGATCGTTGCTGCAGAATTTCAGCAAATTACGATGAATCACATTAAACATTGATCAACTCGTATTCATATCCTCTATTCCCAATTTGGCTATGTGACACTCCTCATGGATCACCCTGTACATTTAAGTATCAGCAAGCCCACCCTAAGAACCAAAGTGGAAAAAAACTAATTTGTGTTAAATTTTATTGAAATATTCTCATAGAAGGAAACTATATTTTACATTTCAGTCTGCAATCGCTACGAAAGTGATTAATGTAGGATCTCAAAATTTGATGATACAAATTTCGACTCGCTGATCGCGCGTATGTGTTCAATCATCATCTGGCAGAACATTGAACGAATAAAATTCTTGTACGCATCATGAATGCAAAATTTTAATTGAGAATATCGGAAGTGTACCGTCTTCTTGCGAGTTATTCAGTGCAGGAATACACGAGCTTCGCTGCCTTTAAGCAGTAAATATCTGCGTTATTATAAAATTATGTTGATGTGAGGAGAGATATTTTTTCTTCAAGCGTCAGGGTAAGTGGCGTTTCTCTGACACTTCACAGGCAGGAAAGGTGTACTTTCTGTGCCTAGGCAGGAAAAGTTTGTTGCTATGCAACGTTCCAAGAAATTTGAACGAAATTGGTTATCAGAATTGACACTGACATTAGGTGAATACAAAATGATGGAGTTTTCAAAACAAGAAACACGCAAAATCGTTTTTTAACATTCGGAGAAAAAATTATATGTTTCACACGGTTGACGCGTTTATGTTCAAAAAAGGCTGTCGTGAGCTTGGCATGATTAAAGCAAACGACATATCTCAAATGTTAATACTCATGATATAGAATGTCTCACCACTTCTTGGCCACCCCAGAAACGCGTCGTTCACCCCCTGCAACCCTTTGAAGGGTGAACTATTCAAATCATTATATCTCGATTACTATTTGAGCAAACGACTTCGTTCAAACGCTCGAATATTCATATTTTGAATCTGAATAACTTTTTTGATCGCCATATATACTGAATGTTCAATATTTAGCGAGATATTTTGCAAAAACCGATAGGACAAGTGCAGCTCTTTCACACATTATTTAATGTACTCAAAACAAGCAGTCATAGGATAAATATTCACGAGTTCGGAAATATTACGTATTCTTCGAGCTCCATTTTCATGTAGCTCTTGTACTTGCATTCGACTGAAATGGAATAATTTGAATAATACTTAGTAGCTATCAACTCATCCACATAGTCAGAAGACACACACCTGTTGTTTCTAATGACACACAGTGCTTATATTTTCCGAAAATTAGAATAACAAATTATGAAACTTGTTGCTTACCATCATTGATATACGAGAATATTACAATTCTTCGAACTTATTGGCCTATAGAGATAAAATCACAATCAACAAATGCGAATACAACGAAAACAGCGCCGCACAAAGAATAATGTAAAAAACCGTAAATACCAATAAACAATGGAAATATAATCTCAATATATTCGAAGCTATCGGCATGGTTTGGTGTAGCCAATATTAAAATAAAGTTTCAATGCTGTACATGTGCATAATTTCATATTACCCAAACATATGAATGCACACGGCATCGTCGAAGTCGTGCTAGCAAAATCGCTTATTAGCTGTGTGTGAACATGGCAGTTCACCAATGACATCAGCAGAATGGTAAAGGAGCCGAAAATGTTCCTTTGATTTTGTTTTCTGAAGTGAATTCTCAGCCTATTGATAAAATAAAAAAATAAGTATATATAATAATTTTTCATAAACTTCACGGATACATGAAAATATCAATGTAGGGAACGTCCCCATTGAGTTCCTCCAATATAAAAACGCTGCAAAAACAGTACATGATACGAAGAAACTCAATGAGATATAGATAAACAAAATGTTTTACATTCGTTATTAGTCACTGTAATACTCCTTTTCATCGAATGATGATTTGATTTATTGAAAAATGGTGTTTGATGGACGATTTGAAAAATGTCTAGGACATATCACATCTTTTCCTGTTCGGGAAAGTCTTGATTTTGAAGAAGTATCAATTTCATTTCAAATGACAAATTCTGATACTCGAAAATTCAAGTAGTTATCCTGAAATACTGTTGAAACTTGCTGATATATAACTGAAAATGGAGTAGTTTGCATTACCCCAAGTAGGGTTCGCGGGTTTGTTGGTTTTCTAGACATCGGGAGTTGAGTTTGTAACCATGAGAAGAATATTAGATTTTGTTGTTCTTTAAAATGTATAGTGGAATAACACCTTATGCTAATCAGAAAAATGTTCTATTTCATGATGGAGTGCCTGCTTGCTTTGCATGTAGTAAATATTTTTTATATCTATGGCTAGATGTATAGAATCTGATGGAATTTTTCGAGTAAAATGATCAAAGAGTGAACATTTTCGATATAACATGAAGTACGGATATGGATTTTTTTCACAATATGCCATCTTGAATAGATTCAATTGAGGATCGTTGCTGCAGAATTTCAGCAAATTAGGACATATTACATCTTTTCCTGTTCGGGAAAGTCTTGATTTTGAAGAAGTATCAATTTCATTTCAAATGACAAATTCTGATACTCGAAAATTCAAGTAGTTATCCTGAAATACTGTTGAAACTTGCTGATATATAACTGAAAATGGAGTAGTTTGCATTACCCCAAGTAGGGTTCGCGGGTTTGTTGGTTTTCTAGACATCGGGAGTTGAGTTTGTAACCATGAGAAGAATATTAGATTTTGTTGTTCTTTAGGGGAGGCTTGGATTGAACTTATTAATACTAATGTTTCTAAAACTATTCAAGAAATTCACTATCGAAACAGTTTTTAACTTATTCACACACGCTACATAAAGACTTGCCTTTATCAAACAATTTGTTTGAATGAACGTGGAATGAGTGATACAAAGTCTGTCAGTCATACAAAAAAACCTATGAACTTTTGAAAAATAATGTATTTTGTTATTCTGCAGAACTGTCACCTAGAAAGTCAAGAACAAAACCCCAGTCAGTCTACGACAATTAGTGCTCCGCCACCACTCACCCCAATAAATATCTTGAAATCGGCGGGAGTGCAAACCACTACCCTTCCGAAACTTCAGAGAATCCCCCGCCCCAAGGATTCTCCGTTTCAACAAGAAACTCATGATCCTGGCATAAGCTCTATTCCCGATCTGCCCAAGCTCACTCCCAGACCTCTACAGTTGCCCGATAATCCTGCACCAGCAGAAGAGTCTTCCACTGAGACTTCTACCTGTGAAACCGGCAAGTCTTTGGTTGGTTCGGTCACTAGCTGGTTACCACATAATGCCAAGATAGTAGTTAACTTAGAACAGACCGCTGAAGAACCGTTCGAGGTTTCCAGACCCCAATACGTCGAATTTTTGGGCGGCAGAAAATTTCTTGTCATTCCAAAGCATAATTTTATGTCAGTATCGCCTACTGTAGCATCGACAGCTAATAGGCGAAACATCGAGGACAACCTGGATGATCTAGAAACGACTACTGTAGTGATCGATTCTGCTAGGTTAGATCCAAATCCTATTCCAGAAGTGAAAACTGAGCCCGATTCTTCATTCAAACCCGAAAATATCGAATCCATACCTGACAGTTCCCACTCGTCCGAAATGGTGGAAGTTAATCGTACTGCCAGCGAATTTGTCGTCACCCTGGGAGCAGACGAAAAACCTGGTGAAGATGGAAAAGTTGTGGATAAGGAGCCTGAGTGAGTGTTTTTTTACTAACTAATTCTAACTTCAAATTTTCAGGGTTTTCCATTTCCCTCTTATCCTTTTTCAACATTTCCTGCGTGCGTAAACAATTCCAATACACATTTTATGGTCACAATATGCGACTGTTCTGCATATATTTGAGTTCTGTTGACTGAAACAAAACATAATTTTGAAAGCTGTATAATTGAATTATTAGTTGACAGTATTTTATAAGCAGTTTGCACTTGTGAAATCCGGCATGCTGAAACAATTTTTATTATTTTTCATATATTTTTTCATGTTCATTTTTCAATTTCAGGTTTATTCTACCATTGAAAAACAACTGAATGACGCCCTGTCCAATAATCTCATTGTCACCCGGCATATATCGCGTTAACTCATGTAGATCTTATACCCTGTATATGCATTCTTAGATCTCGCCTTCCTTAGCAGGACTTCACAACGCAAAGTGCGTGTAGTTTTGAGCATTTTTCAACTCGCGATGTTTTTAAATTCATAAAACAAACCACATAAGATGGTGTCATTTATTGAATTTGAATTAACCAGGTTGTAAGGACTCTCTGAAAACATCGGTTGACCCGTAACGATTATGTTCCTAGTTATCAATTTTAGAACAAGAACAACTGGCTCCCAGAAATGAAAAATTCGAAAAATTTATTGAAGAGTTCAAGGATATGCTCTCGAATTCTAGTTATACCGGTTGACACAGGGTATCGGGCCACCCCTGTAACTTCTGCATTCTTAAACTATTTTTCTGAAATCTGGTGCAGGTATATAAGCAACCGTTATTTCTGGAAATGCCAGCAACTTTGTTTTTTCAAGAAGAATTTGTCGAAAGTTCCACAATGAGAGTAAAAAAACTTGAGACTACTCAAGTCTTTCGATAAATCTATTTGTTAAAATATTCTACATATATTTTTTTCCAATATCTTCGATAAAACAGGCCATAGCCTTAAGGGCTATCCAGAAGAATTTTGGTATTTTCGACTTTGACATTGATCTCACGTTTTAGTTGCGCCAACTGGTGACAGCGAAAAAGTTAGCCCTCATGCTTTTTTAGGTACTTCCTCGATATCACTCGGGAAGTCTGAACTCGAATCAGCCATTTTCCACTGATGAGGATATCAAACGAGTCTCTTTCGTGGATTTCTTCTGATTTGTGAACATATTTTTTTACGGATACTTCAAAGTGACGGGCGAAGGTAATTTGTCTACTAAATTTTGTACCGGGTGTACCACTAACAAAGGGCGCCGACTGTGTCTCGGAAACTATTTGCCGCACAGCTTTCGGGAAAAAACATTGATGATGAAGTGGCCAAGAGAAATCTCTGGAAATTATTTTCAAGTTTCCAGGACGGCCGCTAGTGGGGTTTTTATGAGAATCTTATATATCAAAACATGTCAAAAACACTTTTTTCATAATCTCGAGTTGATTTCAAATCATGTCGATTGAAAAAAAAAAAAACGCTTGCTCTTCAAATAAATGAGTGAGGATGAATAGCGCTAACAAAAAACTATTGTTAATATAGTTTGGTGCAACTGAATTCATTGAACTTGGTCTTATTATGAAGGGTTTTTCCAGTTCTTTCAGGCTATGTTGCTAATAATGTGCGGAATGATTTAGATTTAAGATATCTTGGCAAGTGGATTGGAAGGGGTAGCATGTTTGGGTGGCTAGCTAGGTAGGTTTCCAGATGTTGATTAGATTTTTATTCATGGAGACGATTGTAATATATGGTTTTTCAAAGCTGACCAACAACTAAGGACGATTTTATCAATAGGATCAGAACTGTCGTCGAAATCATGCCAATGCTCGAAGTGGACGCTGCAGTTTTATTCACTCGACGAAGACTCAACTCATATATAGAAAATCAAAGAAGACAATCATTTGAGCGTATGGGTCCTAGGAAGACCCTAGTGCTACTATTTATTTCAGTAACTAATCAATTTATATTTTCCAATATTATTTCGATTATTTATTCGGTTTCTCACTATTTTTCTTTTCGTTTGCTCTACTAGGAAGACCCTAGTGCTACTATTCATTTCAGTAACTAATCAATTTATATTTTCCAATATTATTTCGGTTATTTATCCAGTTTCTCACTATTTTTCTTTTCGTTTGCTCTACTTCCATTCTGGCGTGAGAAAAATATATGGTTCGATTTGAAATTCTTGGGAAAAATAGTAAAATTGTCTGATATTTCAAACGGTGCCATCTAGCGGCGACCACGGGATTTCAAAAGAACTGAACAAAGCCTTCATAATGAGACCCAGTTCGTTGAATTCCATTACACTAAAATGTAGTAAAAAGAAATTTTTCATAGTACTATTCATCTATCCCTCTTTTATTTGAAGAGCTAGCACAATTTTTTCTATCTAGATGATTGGAATTCAACTCGAGATTATGAAAAAAGTATTTTTGGCATCTCATAGATGAAGAAACCCAAAGTCATCTCCACAACATTTATTTGACGATCAGAGATCGATCACATAGAGGTACATGTTTCGGGCTCATATAAGCCCATCATCAGCCGATAACAAGAATTAGTTATGGAAATGAAAAAGTTGAACTTTCGATAATTCAGACAATAAAATGGCACGAGACAAAGACGTATGCGCCATGATTAGGTATAATAAACTCATTTGTTTTTTATGAAAGCATTAAAATTTTTATTTATGGTAAGGGTCGGGTTATTAATTTTAAAAGGGCCCATGTGTCCTTAAATTGCCAAAGGTGACAATCACATATATTTTATATGTCCATATATTATATATTAGCCTTCCATATCACATTCCGTAGTTGTTTAAAGACAGGTTACGATGTGTACTGCCATGTACATACTGCTTCCTCATTTCAGGAAGATACCTACCATTTAATTGATCAGATGTTATTCAACATATAACTGTAACAAAGTACCCAATGACGCCCTCTCTTGGACGATAGCGGGACGAATGACCCGTCTACCTGTGGTCATTCATCGCACCCGAGAACGGTGCAGCACACCTTTAGAGCGTTCGATATCGATCCGTAAGAGGCCCCAGTATACACGGATTCGGATTTTGGGGTGAAACCGATCGTTCGTAGTGAACGAAGGTGTTGAGGTAGGAGAGTGTAATGGCTGACCTGTGTTGTTAGTGGAGTCGTTGTCAATTCTTCGTGTTATAACTCGTGATTCCTGTTTGGGTAGCCCTTGATGTGGTATGAATTCACCTGCCTGCAGTTGTGAAGCTCTACTGAAGTCTGGTATCTAGGTGAGTGGTAATATTATACATCTTGTGTGTTCGTGATCGAAAAACCGCGGGCTGATGTCTTTGGAGAAGTCTTGTTTCCCGGTCTCTGGCCGGATGATTTAATATGTATATCTTCAACTTGGTTTGATTCGACTTCTGGTGAGGGTAAATAGTATGCCAGAAATCGTTCAATCCCAAATTGTTTTTCGAATCAGGTATTTTGTAAACTAACCTAAAAATTGTGATGAGCGGTATCGAGGATAGTGATTTTTTTCTTTGTACATCTAGCTTGGAATCGCTTGGGAACAACATAGAGAAAGACCATCAATCACCATCGCCGAACCGTCCCAAATCGGTACTAATCTGTCGTCGTCGAAATAAACTGGTCACCCTCGTCAACCCTGTGTTTTACTTCCTCTGCTTGCCAACCCACGCACCCTGAGATAATTTAGCTGCAACCACCGCTAGTGGATAGTGGTTTCCGTAGCATAACATAGTCAGAGAAAAAACAAACAACACCAAATCGGTCGACTGAAAAAAGTTAGACCGCTTTGGGAAAGATGGATGGTTTCCATGACTTCTATAATATAGTGTCTACCATTCCAAAGCAGGTGATATTCTATTAAAAGAAACGAGTGCTCATGAATACATGTTACATATTCAGGTGAAAATATTAATTTGGTTCAATGAATGAACTGAAGATAATTCGTTAGATTCTCATCACCTCCTGACTATGAAATTGAATTTTTGAAGCTGCTTTCATGGACTTTTGACTAGCGGCTGTAATGATAATGTTGATAATTTTGCGAACATATGGGAATTAAAAGACCAACCAGCTATTCGCTGAATGATATCTAGGCTCACGTCTGCTTGAGTTCGACTCTCACGCGGGGCGGTAGAGTTTTTTCATTTTCCGTTGTCACTCGAAATTAGGGCTTTTCATCATCTTCACTTTTTTAGGCAAAATTGCAACCAGAGTTTATAACTAGAAATCTATTGGCTTATTGTAGATTCTGACAAGAAGCGAAGCGCATTATTTATGGCGCTTGGTGGATAGTTTTTTAGTAATAATGCTTGCCTGATAGTCTGTAATTCTCCAGGATAAGCTCGGAAGAAAGTGGATGCATTGTGCTGTGAGGAGATAACAATTCACTTTTCGGTTTGAATATTACCGGCCCATCCGACGTCAATTTCAGCAACAATACATAACACGGCCGAGTAGGCCACTTTGGTACTACTAATATCCCCTTCGCTTGGTCTTGTATAATATTTTGAACAGTTTTTATGATCACGAAAAACAAGAGGAAATGCATGAAATATCACATCACTCGAAGGGATTGTGATAAGCAACAACTGTCACTGATTCAGGATCTCTATGCCATATCACCTACTTTGTGCATTTGAAGTTGTTTTTTGAAGTGAATAGATCTGATATTTATCGCTAATTTTTTTTAATGCGTAAATAGCTAAATCCCACTCCGTTTCGGGTTGAAGTTCGCGAGATTCCTGGTCAGCCTGCCCATTATCCTTGGAATTTATATATGAGACCGATAGCCACTTTCTTTTGTTTTTTAGTTAATTGGCTCAGCTCTAGTACCTGATGACACACTCCATGCGATTGATATGCCAAAGAGCTGTGACGTTAAATACTGTCTGTAGGTTAATCGAGGAGGTGGTTCATTCATTAGTCCAGATTTTTTTTTTATTTTCTCCTCGTCTCTATACAATAAAAATATGAATACTCTTTTTATATACGTGTAGCTAGG